GCCAAGGCAAAAGCACGACTGCTCGACACGGTCTACAACTGGAAGGGCGACTATGAGGTATTGATTTAAAAATTATAATATATATATAGTTTTAAAAATATTATATATTGACTTTAATGATCTAATATTTTTTTTTAATCAGGTGGATGGTTACGAGGCCGGGAAACCCGATTGCCTCACAACCACGGTGTGGGATGGCTTTATCAGCTATTGGACGTTGCCGGACTCGGTCAGAACGTCCAACACAAACTCCGGGAACCGCATGACCAAGGACGAGCATGGCAACACGAAGGTGCTTCACACCACGGGTCCAAAACCTCACGGGGGAGTTCGTCTTGACATGGTAAGATGATTTTTAATATCAATTAACTTAATTTTTATTTTATTTGAATATATTCTAAATTAATTTTTAATTTTATAAATTAATTTTAGGCTAAGGAGACAGAAGTTCTTCCATCTCTGAAAGACCTGTACGAGAGGACCCACCGGAACAAGGCTGGGCAGTTTGTAGATCCTGCTTTGGAGAGGATCTACAACGAGCTTGTTGCCCGAGTTGACGAGCGCCAGACCCAGCTGACTCAGCAGACTGGGTCTCCAGTCATATTATCCACTGTTGACGTGGATAAGATTTACGAGGAGGTAAATCATTTGTTTTACTTTTTATTTTTATATTTTTCTTATATGATATTAATATTTTTATTTAATTTTCAGGTCGCCCCTAGGAAAAAGGGGCGTATCATCGGGATTGGCTCAGTTAACGATGTCCATGCAGCGACATCGTCTTATCATCAGGAGCAGCACGATGTCAATGATCAGCTGCGCTCGCAGTTGGAGGCGACGCAGTCTCAAGTGACTTCGCTCACCGATGATCTCACTTCTGNATATTATCTAGTTATTTATAAAATATTTTGTTTTTTTATTTTTATTTATAATTTGATTTTTTTATTTTTAAAAAATAAATTAATTATTTGTAATTATTTTTTAAATAGGAAAAAAACATTTCCAAGCAAAATCCTCGTAAAATATTCCAAGTAATATCCTCGTAAATAGTTCTAGTTATTTCCTCGTAATGTATCACTATGACCTTACGAGGAAATACTTACTACGAGCTTACGAGGAAAGCTTACTAGGAGCTTACGAGGAAAATATTACCACGCCTTTACGAGGAAAGCTTTCCTCGTAAATTCGCTACAACCTTACGAGGAAAATGGCTTTACGATGAACGTGTTTCGAGGAAACGCGTTTCCTCGTAAGTTCCTAGTAAAAGGCCATTTACTAGGAACTAACGAGGAAAACCCGTCCTAGTAATGGACGAGTTTTCTTGTAGTGTATTGGTAAAATTTAATAACAAAACTATGATTAAATGTTTACATATTTTATGTTCCACTATGCGTTTTCGTCATTCCACTGACAGCATTCAATACTACATATTTATAGACACCTTAGGATGTGTTCTTGGAATAAATAAATCTTCTTTATATTTTTTTATCCATATGTTTTTTAAGTTAAAGAACAATCTCAATATGATTGATTCTGAAACCTAATTCAAAATAAATGATTAAATGATTGACATTAACATCAAAAGAGTAGTATCAGAAAGAAAAAAAAAAGTTTGAAACAACATTCTAGTCGACGAAGTGAGCAAGCAATTATGTTTAAAAAGAGAGAAGACCATATTTTATAAGGCATGCAACTTTAGCATTTACATAGGCCAAAGTGAAATGTATTGTTTAGTTATTGTACTTTTTTTCTTTTCTAGCTTTTAATAATTTAAAACAGTAAAATAGTTTTCCAACGATATAACTAAACACATAATATTACACTATTTTCAATTCTTATTGTGGTCCATGAATTAATATGTCCCACAATGCTTTCAAAAGAAATTATTATTATCTTATTGTTAAAATTAAATAGCAAAATTGTGACTAAATGGTAACATGTTTTCTATTCCGCTATCGGTTCTTGTCATTTTATTAACAACATTCAAAACCATAAATTTTGATAGACCGCTTAGAACGTGTCTTGGAACAAATAATCTTCCCCACTTGGTTTTTAAGCTAAAGAACAATGCCAATATGAATGATTCTGAAACCTAATTCAAAATAAATGATTATTTGATTGAAATAAACATCAAGAGAGTAGCATAAAAAATAGGGTTTGAAACAACACCTTCCAATCGGCGTGAACAAGCAATTAGGGTTTGAAAAACGATAAAACTTTTTTCCTTTCTGATACTACTCTTTTGATGTTAATGTCAATCATGCAAAGTGAAGGTTAATGGTGATGTTTATAAATAAATTTCATTCTAGAGAGTTTTATGATTAGGATGGAAGATGAGTTTAACAACTACATGAATTTTGTATTAATGTAACCAATAGACACAAATATAAAAAAAATATAAATATTATTTTGATGAAAAAAAATTATAACATTACTTGCGTTCATTTGATTGGTCTCAAACTTTTTAGTGAACACTCAATCTTTCCTTTAATCCTATATTCCTATTTATCCATTGGGATATTTTTAAATTATTTTATTATACTAAAACTAAATATAGTTAATATTTATAGATGTGTATATTATATACAAACCTCATTTTCTCAATAGAACATCCAATCACTAAATCCTAAATTAAAAAAAAAAATCTTTTTACTTTTAATAGATACTATTTTAGAAAGAAAAATATTATTTTCAGAATAAAAATATAATTTATAGGGTATTTTTCTTGATTAAGTTGAACTTAGATTTCAATGCCATGTACAGTTTAAGCTGTGTATAAAAGCAACAATCTTTTTATTCTCAAAAATTAAACAATAGATGATGAATATTTTTTCCAGATACCAAGAAGGTACACAGCTTCGATAAGCAAGAGGCAACATATCACATATGCCACAAGTAACATACTGTCATGGAACGTAAAATTATCGGATTCATCATTATTGTACGGTTTATTTGTTTACTCATATCTCAGACAAATAACACAATTTAGCTTCGACACAAAACAAGAAAGTGTCACTCTTTATTCTGCCTTGTGGTTTTTAGCCATCTCGTCCACGTCCAATTCTACGGCCAGGATTGGAGAATCTTGTCCCATAGCAGTGTGACTGTTTCAAAGCATTTTACGAGTAAGCAAACCAGAAAAGCTAATTAAAAATGTTTTTTTAAGAGACAAGAAACTCTATTTACCTGTTTCGAACGGGACCATGATCGACAGCTGTTCTCAGACAATATATAGCTCTTCCAACAATGTCTGCTGTCGAAACTGGACCAAATGTTCGACTATCATATGCTTCCTGTTCAAAACCCACACCCAAGTCAACAAGAATATAGACACTCTACTTTGGTCTAGCTTTAGATCATCATCCCAAGGAGAAGAAAGTGATGCATGTATGTATGTATGTATGTACCTTAGCTTTGATATCCTTGTTTTCAGCAACTACCCAGCATTGATCTTTTTCGAGAACAAAAGGCTCCTCTTTTGCATCACCTGATACCATTTCGAATCCTTCTACAGCTGCTAATCTTCTCACCAGATACTTATCTGAATTGTTTGGGTCCTTTAAGACCACAGCATCTCCAACGAACAGATACCTACAAACGTAAAGAGTGCAATGATCTGTAGTTCTCAAAAACACTTGAGTTTATTGTAAACCGACAAATAAGAAACCTTTGTACAAGTGACACTATATGGTCTAGTGATATGAGATGAAGAGCCATTATAATTAAGGTGTAACACATACGAACACAAAATATTGAAAAAATCAACAAAAGAAAAGGTATCTGAACATATACCTCGTGTTAGCCATTGGTATCTTACGAACAAGAAGTGTGTTCTCGTGGGCTGCCATGGTTGGGGACATTTCTGGTCCTTTACCAGAGTGTAAGAAGGTTATCTTCCCATGGAATAGATTCTTGAAGATGACTTGAATGAGTTCTCGATCACTCAGTTTTTCTTTCCTATGACTCTGAAAATGTAACTTGAAAATGTTAAAAACACTACATGAAGCATTTTGTCTTGAGAGTTAAAGTTTTGTCGGCTTCAGACAAAAAGATGTCAACTTTGAGTTCGATCTGTATGGATATAGTTCTATAGAAGCATTCAAGAAAAAGTCTCAACCTATTTCTTTTATCAAGAAACAGATGATTATGTCTTTGATAATGAATGTTAATTGGTTTCTAAAACCAATTCCACAGATTACAAAATTTGAGAGTGAAACACAGAGATTAAGTCTGAGAGAGAGAGAGAGGGGAACCTTGAGACTGAGGCTGAGAGAATACTCAAGTTTGTGTGCCATGTATCTGAACCATGTCGAGATTGAGGCCATCACCGACCGACACTTGCTAATCAAAAAGTGAATGTAAGGGTTTTGAAAGATGGCTACTCCGCCGCTGAATTCGCCGCAGTGTCGGTTTTCTCGGCCTCGTCGCTGCCGCAGTCAATAGGAGGAGGAAGAAGGAGAGCTATAACCCTATGAGAGTTGAAACGAAATCTGAACCCAAAATATTTTAGAAGAATAATTGCAAATTGATCCCCAGTTTCATTATCTATTCTACGTATTATCGCTATGTTTTACGCAACTATAATTAAATCCCTAGGAAGTACGATCTGTTTTGAGACGGCCCATTAATAAACCGGTTCGAATACCCCCTCTTAACGATTTTATGTATTCAACTATTCATTATACGGGCAGAGCCCCGTGCAAGCGGGGTAATATTGACAGAGTTGTTGCACTAAATCAATGTATGTAAGTGATACCGTATTTGTGAAGTTTGTGTTTTGTTATGGTCATTGATTTACTTTGACTGGTTCTCCTGCTATCATCCGCAAACGCAGTTTTTGCGGTTGATAGTGATTGTTGGTGTTTTGCTACAATCACACAAAACGCTATAAACCACTTTAAATCATTCTGAATCTCTAAAATTCAAAAATTGATTTCAGTTAGCGTTTGCGGTTATGGGCGGTTGCGAGAGGATAAAAATATTTTTTTCCAAAAAACTATATAAATATAAAAATAAATATTCAATTAAAATTTTAAATTAAAATAATTGAATATCAAAATATTTACATTATAAATTTTTCAACATATATTTTCTTTTATTTTTAAAAAAGTTTAATAGTATAGTTTTATCAATAAATTTTTTATATTTATTATGAAAATATGATTTTAACATTTTGATAATTATATAAAATATAGATATCTCTATAATATTATTTGAGAATTCACTTTCTAATATGTCGCGCTCACGTTAACTCTTACGCTGATTGATTACTATGATACCCTTAATGAATTAAAAAAATACATTTAATTATTATTATTTCCTTTTATTTTTTTTCAAATAACAATATAAAATAAAAAGGAAACATGTATAAAGTTTACAAAACTCTTTAAAAACGAAAAATATAAGTATATATAAATATGGTTTCATAAAAATGGAAAGTTCACAAAATAGTAATATTTAATTTAAATATATTTTAATAAAATAAAATATAATTTTGAAGTAATAAAATACTTTATAACTATATCTTCTTAGAAGAAAACCAATATTTGTATATAATGTGATTCCATAAAAAAAGTTCACACAACTAATCTTTATATTAGAAAAAGAGATATTTTAAAAAAAAAAAAAATTAATAATAACTATATAGATTTTCAAAGTATTTGTTTTTGTATTTTTTTTTTTTGTAACACAAGTATTTGTTTTTGTATATATCTATTTTATTAGATGATTACATAAAATAATTAAGTAANAAAAATATAAATTCTATTTACTTATATAATATAATTTCTCAAAAACAATACCATTTTTACTGCATATTTTAAAAGATATTAAAAACAAAACTAAAAATGAATTTTAATAATAAATATTTTTTGATCAAATAACTACAATTATCTTAAAATATCATAACATTATATAATTTATCGAAGTAGATACATTATATTTTAATAGCTAAAATTATATGTTTTCTTAATAACTCTTTTGATTTTTAATTTTCTGTTTTTATGTTTGTGGAACTTAATATAACCATAATCAAAATACTTAAACAAATCAGAATCCTTATTTTTAAAATTATTTAAAATAAATTTCAGTTTATCATCTAATCAGTCTAAATATTGTAAATAGGGGTGGGCACTTTATCCGATACCCGAACTCGTACCCGAACCCGACCCGAAGTATCCGAACCGAAATCCGAACCGAAGTACCAAATTACCCGAACGGGTATTGAGTTAGGAGAGTTTGGATATCCGAACCCGAACGGGTATCCGAAGATAACCGAACATATGTATATATACCTATTTATTCCTAATTTATTTTGTCTCATTTTATTAAAACTATTTATATTAATGTTATATATAGTTTAATATCAGATAATATACATATAATTGTAAAAAAATTGATTTGTTACTCATTTAAAATGCATGTTAAGCTTCTTATTTCATACTTTAAATAAAATTTGCATCCAAAATTCGAAAATAATAACCAAAGTAATGATTTTTATTTTCAATAATTTATTTTCAAATTTATTAATCGTCTAACTTATCAAACATTTAAAAAATAGTTAAATTAATAGTTAAATTTTAAATACATGAAACTTAAGTAATTAAGAATTTAAAATTTTTCTTTCAAAATCTAAATATCCGAACCCGACCCGAAATAACCGAATCCGAACTAAAAAATATCCGAACCCGACCCGATATGTAAAAATACCCGAACGGGTTCTAAACCCCAATACTGAAATACCCGAAAACCCGAAATACCCGACCCGAACCCGAACGGGTACCCGAACGCCCACCCCTAATTGTAAATATTGATATGTGTTCATTAGCTTGCAGAAATTTATTAGTTACTCAAGTATGTAATTTAGAATCAGGATATACTTATATTTCTAAGATAACAAACGGCATAAATGCAAATAAGACAATTAATCAAAAATTTAATATATTTAGAATAAAAAAGATTATAGTTGAATTCAGAGAAATAGATAGAATCTAATATATCTCAATAATAACTAAATCAACCGTAAAAAAATTAAACTAACGAAATATAACATATCTAAAATTATAATAATTAAATTAATATAATACTATTAATATAAATTATATCTACAAATTATAAATTAATTTTAAATTTGAAGTAAATATCAATCAATTATTATAATATATTTATTTTAAATATTTATGTCAGTGTATGAGAACGGGAAAATCACCTAGTTGTTAATTTATTTGATAATAAGCTAGTCATAAGTATCATGTAAACGCAACAATTTTTAACCGTTGAACCAGTCGTCAAAATCTTTTACTAACGTTTAAAACCGTAATCTCTCACATCCACAAACATCTGCAACCGCAATCACTACATTGTAACCAGTCAGACCCTTACACGGTTGCGTGCGGGGTTCATTTGTGTTGTTTTAAGCTTTTGATATTGTATACCATTCTTGAATTTTTTTGTTTTATTAGTAATTTTCATCTAATCTTTTTTTACTAGCTGAATTTTTTGTGTATTTTTCTGTGCCTTTGGTACAAACTCTTTTGGTCATCTTCCTATCATTACTTATTTGCAGTGCCACTTTATTCGACTTTGTATAATCGTTTTTTATTTTACTTTTACTTCAGTCCAATTTACATTGCTACTCATTTGACCATATTATTTTCCTTAAGCTTTTCTCATTATTTTCGTTTCTCATTTTCTTTTATGATTCCACAAACCTAAAAACCTAGCTTGTGCCTAGTGATATTAAAGCTTACTCCACATTTAAGCTTTGTGATATTAAATAGTTAATTCTTTGTTTTTTTTTTTGGTTCAAAATTTAATTTTTTGTATAAATTTGTAAACAGGTAATACAGATGGTATGTAATCAACATTTTTGACATTTCTTTTGCTTTAAAGCCCATGAATATATCTCTAGGATTTATGCTCTGGTATTACCTTTTGTCCGTCTAGATTGAACCTCCAAAGAAACCACAAAATATGCCCATGTTATATTAAATATGGTCATGTTACAAAAATACATAATAGTTTATTATAAAAAAAATTAAACTATTTATATTAAATGTTCATCTGTATTACAGTCAGATGCAAAAGAATTGATATCAATAGGTTGAATGATTTTAAGCTTCCTCCTCCATATTATACCAGGAATGCAGATGTCTTCAAGTCCACAACGAACAGAGAACCCATCCCTCTCCAATGGATCACCCCAAAAATATTAGAGTTCTTCAGTCCCAGACCTCAGCGTTTTTTAACGTTTAACCTGAGTAACTGTCCCAATCTTCAAGATCAAATGATGGTTTAGAGCTTTGAGTTTTTACTACAGGTCCAGTAATTGGTGCAGTGTTCGGCACGGGAAGAGATGACATGGAGTAGTTTCTAAGATATGATTATCATGTTCATATTCAAAGATGACATGAATCAATAAGTACAGGTTTTTTTCATGGTTTTTTTTTTTAACTTGTAGCATGATTAGTGCCATCATCTATGATATTTGACACTTAATCAGAGCAAAAAAAAAAGAAGAATTTACACTTAGACCGAAACCGGTTTTGTTTCTCAAACAATTTTCACCCCAGAATGATCTCTTTTCTGAAACTAAAAACTCCTAAACTTAGACCGAAACCGGTTTTGTTTCTCAAACAGTTTTCACCCCTGAATGATCTTTTTTCTGAAACTAAAAACTCCTAAATCTGTATAAATCGAGTTGATAAACCAAATGACAACCTATGTTTCATAATATAAAAAAACAAAACAAAAAGAGTGACCAGGTCGAAACAAACAATTCATATGCGGACGATAATTCAATTTTTAATTAGGCCAAACAAAAATTAATAAATTTAACGAGTCCAGTTAAAATATAAACAAATTCATTTATGAAAGAGTGAGTTGGATTCTGAAATGTGAAAACATTAGTTAAAACAGCTGAAAGTTCTCATAATGTTCAAAACCTAAATCATTTTGCATAATCTTAGAGCATCATTAGTGTATAGTCCCTCAATATGTCTCTAACAAAAAATATATTAATATTTGTGTATAATTATTTGTCTACAAATAAATTTAAATGATAAAAAAAATTGTACCACTAAGATATTATCCATTGGTAAAAATGTTTCTGAGCTTTGTACCAACAATTCTTTGGAGATGGATGACTCTCACATTTTTATATCCGACCTCTCCTCTTTCGTATCATTTAATGAGTTTATGTGCTGAAAATTATATGGAAGAAACTGTTACTATTTATGCTCTTATAATTACTAGGAAACCACCCCGCGCGTAAACGCGCGGGAAAAAAGATGTTTTTTTAAAAATAATTTTTATATAATTTATATTTGTTAGTAATCATTTTGAATCATTTAATAAACTAATTATTTTGTACGAAAATCAATACTTAAAAAATAATCTTATATAATAGAAGAGTGAAAGTATATTTGTGTTTGAAAATGTATAAATTTAAATGTTATGTGTTTAGCATAACAATATTAAGTAAACTATAA